GAGGCCTATTTCACAGCAATGCCCCTGCCCGTAAATAAAATGTGGCTTAGCTGGTGATCCTGAATACATCTGCAGAATAGGCAACTGTACTTGAGTTTGCTCCCTTGTAGGAGCAGAAAGCTGGGAGATGTTCAATTTGTGAACTTGTGGGTGGGGAGCTGCTGTTAACTGCAAGAAAAAAGCAGTGCAAAGCTTTTACACTTTTTGAATTGTCAAGCTTCTAAAAATTTGCAGCAGGGCTATGCCCTTTTAATACCTGATATAGTCCTAATGAAGTTAAACTGGCTCTTCCCTACTGCTATTTGCAGACCCCTTGAAATTAGTCCCTATGACCAGTCTGAGGACCATCTTCATCAATCGAGTGATGTGGAAGAGAAGGCTGGATCCATGGGGTTGTTTCCCGAGTGATAGTTTGGACCAGTTTGTCTTGGGTTACAGTTTGTCTGCTACCAGAGCAATGCAGTTACATGTTTGAATTTTAGAGTTTGTAGCAAAGCCTGTTAATTATGATGCTAAGACTGTACCAACAGCTGTCCCAGCTATTAAATGTTTCTCTTAGCAATACACTGACCTTCATCCTTACAAACTAAAAATGCAGACTGGACCAGGTCAGATGACCATCTGCTCTGGGTTCCAATAGCCAACAATATAAGCTTAAGGGAGGCCAGAAGAAAAGAGCAAACATATAATGCTAATATTCCTCTGAGTGTTTTCCTCATTTCTAGTGCCTTGTCATTTCTTGACAAGCGGCAGCATCTTTGTACTCTGTAGCTGTCGGTGAATTTTTCTGCCATGAATTTGCCAAGATGCTTTTAAGCCCAGGTAAAATATTGGCATTTATGGCTTCCTGGAGCAAGGAATTGCACAATGACAAAGTGTCAAGCTAGTCTACTTGGCACCAGCTAACTCTTGCCATTTAGACCTGGCCAGTATTAAATCTCAGTGATCTAAACAAACTGCTCTGAGGATAGTTTTTCATCTTGATTGGGGTGAACTTTGCACAAGCTTTCCAGATATATTTCAGTGATGACAGTGAGGGGTATTCAACTGAAAATAAATTGTGTATGGGAGAGGGAATAATGTCTTACAATATAGTAAAAATGCAGAGTTTGGGATACGGTTCTATGAGCACCATGTAACTCATGAAGTATTTGCAGTGATACGGATAAAGCAATTAGGTCTCAGCCCCCCTCCCTGACTGCATATTCTGTAATTTTCTAGCACAGTGAACTGTACACGCAAGGCTACCTTTAAATATATAGTCATATATACCGCTTTAAAAAGCTTTAAGCTTAGCAGCTTCTTCCTCACAACTAGAAGTAATCCAGCGTGCGAAGACATCAGTGACCCCAATGCTGCTTCTGAAAGTCTTTGGCTGGCGGGGTCCGCACCCCTGTCCCCTCTCCCGACGCTCTGGAGTGTAGCAGCGGCCACAGGTGCTGAGACCGGGAGCCCTCCCAGCGCAGAGGCAGTTCCCAGACAGCGCGGGGCAGGCTGGGCGGCCGCACGCTAAGCCCTTCATAGTCTCTGCTGAACACATGGAAGTAGCATTTGTTCAGATGGAAGAAACACACCCAAAAAACTGTTGTACGTAATGATCTCTGGGTGTTAGAATGGCTCCCAAAGACTGTTGTAGATGCCACGAGGGAGAGAGTGAAGGTGCTGATCTGGTGCTTGCCCTGGTACTGGGTTACTGTGTGCACAGGCAAGATCAAAGGACCTTTATGTGACTTAGGAGTGCTTGTTTATGTCAGGAATAAAACTGCCCACACTGCACAGGAGCTGGCACCAGACTGAATGTCCCAAGTTTTTTACGTTGCACACCTCTTCAGTGTGGTCCAGGCCACCTTTCTGCAGGAATTCTGCATGATGAGGCTTTCCATATTTTTCTACAGTAGAGGGACCGTTGTGGGCTATTTTGATTCTTGCATGATATACAACACACTGAACGATTCTAACACCATGCCTAGAATTTGTTTGAGAGACAGCCTTGTCATAAAGCTGTGAATGAGGCTGAGTACAACCAAACTGTTGTAATAATTGTTACCCTTGATGTTAAAAAAAGGAGAAAAAAGGCATGACATTTTCCCCCAAAATTTCTGCAGCAAGTGTTAAAGCATGATCAAAGCTCCTTGTTAGCATCTCCAGAATAAACTAAAGAGAGAGTGCTTTATAGAGTTACACCATAAAGCAAGTGTTTTGAGCTGTGACTGGCACCTAGGTATCCTATTTTTTCCCCCATATGACATCTACTATGCTGGAGACTGCTCTCAGCTGGCAAAACTGCTTAGCAGTTTCTCTCCCAGGGATTCTCTAGGCACAATCCCTGGCTTGCAAGCAATTTCTACCACCCCTTAAAGCACAGAGAAGATACAAAGTGGGGGTAGGAGGGAAGTGCCAAACATTTCGGTAACACATCAGTAGGAAGGAATATTAGAATCATGGAAAGGTTTAGGTTGGAAAAGGTATCAGCTGGAGTCCAGCCTCCTACTCAAAGCAGGGCTAATGTCAAAGTTAGGTTGATCAGGATGTCGTCCAGCTGAGAGCTGAAAGTCTCCAGGGATGGATGTTCTGCACCCTCTCTGAATTACCTGTTCCAGTGATTCACCCATTTCATCGCAAATAATTTTTTCTTCCTGATGAGAAACTGGAATGTCTGTGCTGAAACTTGTGACTATTGCAATAAGCTGTGCCCATTTGCCTGGTGATAAAGTATTTCACAGGACGAAGACGAAATCTCGGTCTCTGTACTGTTCTGTGTTGGCTCAGAAATAAGCAGTCACGTGGATTTAAATGGAACTGAGGAGGCAGAGGTTAAAAAAAAAAACAAAAACCAAACAACGCTCTGTAATGAGTATGTCAGGAGATGGGAGGGAGATCTTCAGCATCAGGATACTGTTACTATGGTTAAAGTTGAATAATGTAACATAACATATTGCAACATAACATAAAATGTAACATAACATAATGCCAGGGGAGGTTTAGATTGGATATTAGGTAAAATTTCTTCACGGAAAGGGTTGTCAACCACTGGAACAGGCTGTCCAGGGAAGTGGTGGAGTCACCATCCCTGGAGGTAATTAAAACACGCGTAGATGTGGTGCTCAGGGACACGGTTCAGTGGTGGACTTGGCAGTGTCAGGTTTACGGTTGGACTCGATGATCTTAAGGGTCTTTTCCAACCTAAATGAGTCCATGATTCTATAACATAGAAGTTGAACAGCGCTTCGCTGAAGAGCAACTCTCGCGAGCTCAGCTTGGCATTTGCTACGCTTGTTTCTTGGTCTAACGAAACCCTGGCGTGTTCCGCGTCTGCACCGCTGCCGGGGAGCGGTGGCGAGTGCCGGAATCTCAGCGGCTCGGCGGATCCGTGGGGGTAACTCGAGGAGTCCGTAAGAGGGGCGAGAGCCGCGGGGGCTTTCCCAGGAAAAGCTGGTGTGGCTGTGGGAGCAGAGACGACGCCTCCCTGCCTACAAACGCCAGCCCAGGGCGGCCGGGCCGGCGGGCAGCGGGATGGGGGCCGGCACCCACGGGGGTCCCCCGGCAGCCGGGGAAAGCGACAGCCCCGCTCGCAGCCCGCCAGAGGGCACTGCTGCCCTGCTTTGGGGAGAATCGGACCCTCTCCGCTGCCTTCTGACGGAGATGGAAAGACACTTCGGGCCTGCCCGGCCAGAGGCGGCACAGGGCATCCAGGGAGACCCCGCTCGGGTGGTTAGAGACCCGGCTCGGGTGATTAGAGACCCCACTCGGTGACTAGAGACCCCGCTCGGGTGATTAGAGACCCGGCTCGGGTGATTATGCTGCATCCCAACTGCGACGGGAGCCGCTGCTGCGCTGCGTGGTTTAGAACATCATCAGGTCTAATAGTAGAAGCTTCCTTCTCGCCTTCTCTACAGAGCGCACTGCAGAACTAAGATGTCCAAACGGAGCTAAATAGGCTGCATCCGCTCAAAAACAACCACAACAAGCAGCAACTAAAATGGCCAGATTGGGAAAGCAGAGACACCCTAGAGCCCAAGTGCTGAAATACCAGAATCAAATGCTTGAAGTGGTACAATTTAGAGAAAAAAAAATTTTACAATGATCGAGGTGAAAATTAACCATTTGACAAATGTGCGCAACACGCCTGGTAAAGTCATTGGTGTGGCGGCACTTTGTCTGAGGTAAACTGCGTAACTCATGTAGGATTTTCCAGCGTGCCCCAAAGGACAGCCTTTTCGTTCGCAAAATGTATGTTCATTTTAAAAAGGCAGAAAATGTTCATTTCGTGAAAGCTGTAAGATTGCTTAAGTGGGGCAATTTATTACACAATACAGGTGCTCTGTACAGCCAGTAAGAACTAGCTGCTTTGCATAACAAGAAGAATTCCCACAGGAAACATAATGAGCCTAACAAAGTATGTTGGAAACAAAAGAGTGTACTGAAGGAAGAAGACTAGAAACTGAAGTATAAAAAACAAAACAGTGAACTGTTTTTGTCTCATTCTTCCTAAAAATAATAATTTGAAATCTGAGACAAACGCAGAGAAATACATTTATAAAAATCTTTGTACAAATTTAAAAAAGCATGCCTAGCCTTGGAAGCACTAAGTTACAACAAAAGAGAGACCAAATGTAATCCTTTGACGTACCAATACCATCTGAAGTCTGTTTATGTATTCTTTACATTTCTATCTATTTTTGGTAGTCCAAAGCAGCAATCACAAAATATTAAGACCCCATCTACCACATTCAGGGCTCAAAACCAAATGGTACGTCACTATTGTTAAGAAACCTCACTGAGATACACTGACCTGGGCAACCAGCCTGGTGTGGATCTGTTCTCCTACAAGCACACTTTCCTTAGGTATATTCCTAATCTAAAATTATCTCCCCTCCACATTCCCCAAATGATCTGGAAGAGCTTATATTAAAGAATTCCTTGTTCCCCCTTACCAAAACCAAGTGGGAATGTTTTATTAACAGCTAAAGAAAGCCGGGATTGATTCTTGGTCTGTAGCTAAAGAAGATTTCTCGGTTGTTATTGACGTTCTTCGTTGTTCCTCAGTAAAGCAGCTCAGTAAGTGTTTACTTACTGCTGCCGAGATTTCCCAGAAGAATGCTTTGGTACCCTTTGTTCAGACAGCTCATATAAATGCTTTTACTACCTGTTGCCTCTTTTTTTTAGCAACTTTGAGTTTTTCCGTGGTTCAGTCTCCCCTTCCTGTGGACTCTGTAACCTCTCTCTGAAAGAAATAAACAAGAAAAATTAAATTGTAGACAGAGTTTTTAAAATGCTACAATTCTCTCTTAAACTAAGTTAATTTTGATAAGAGAAGAAAGACTTTTGCTACAGAATTATAACTTCTGCACTCACTGGTTTCAGCTGCCTCTGTTGAGGCTGCCAAAACAAAGTTGCATAAAGATAAATGTTCCTTTGTTGGGTTCCTGTTCCCTACACTTGTATCCCTTGTTGGCTGTGGGAAAGGAGTGTGTGAAAAGGGTTGATGCCATCAGGGAAAGGAGCCATCTCCTGAAGTCAGTCCCAGGCTGAGGTCACTCAGGGGATAAATACTTTTCCCCAAAGGCTTGTGGCTCCTGAGAACCAACTGTTTGCTTTGCCTGTCAACAGGATTTTCTCTGCTCAATATATCAAGCCCCAGCAACCAGCTGGCTGGTTTGATCTGCCCGTAGTAATCAGCTGGCATCTTTCAGGTTTGTAGCCATTTCTTCTCCTCTAGTTAGCACTCCAGCATAAGCCAACTGAAACATCTATCAAGAAAATCATTGTTAGAGCTGCTACCCTCATCAGCCAAAGACTGGCGCTTGCCTTTGTTCCTGAAATAAAGGTGGAAGTTGAAAGCCTAAATACCACAGACCATATTTTGGTTGCTACATGTCAGGCTAGTTCCATTGGATTCACTTGTCTCTGCTGATTTATGCTGTCTGTGACTCAGGTTTTAAAAAACCTAATTAAAGGAAATTTGGAAACAGTATTCTCGTTTCTCTACCTAAAATCAAAATTATTTATAAAATACACAGCAGCACAGACAAACAAAATCAGATTATTTCCCTAAATTTAAAAAAGAATATGGGGGGAAAAAAGGTCAAGTACATGTGAGAAGTAACTATTAAGGAAGAAGCTCAGCTAGTATAGGCATGATATTTTGGGTTTGATTCACATACCTGCTTATGAAGTAGATTTTGTACTGTTTTTTATAAATAGTTTTTCACATACCAGTTTTTCAGCCTCTACGGTACCTGCATAAGCCAGAAGACAGTCCAGGGGGCTCTTGAATATTTTCTTGACAATCATCTTTGTCTGCTGATTCTGGTAACTGAAAGGTCTTTCTTTTTGAGTTTGTTTTTTCCCCTGAATTGCCAAATGCATGTGGATTAAAAAAAAAAGAATCACATATAGTAGAGCTTGTTTGGTTTTGATTAACCTAAGCAAAAAAATACACTCCAACACTTCATACATATACATTATTATTCCAAGGAAAGCATTCCACTTTACATTAGTCTAGAATATTGTTTTTTTTACTGTCAGTTAGTTCTCACAGAGCACAGGCCTTGAACTTTCACACTTACTGAACACTGAAGTAAGCTTCCATGAGGTACAGAAGTTGAAAGCCCCATCATATATTTTCTTAACAAGTAACTGAAAATGACTTTTTACTACCAGCAAACAGAAGAAAAGCCAATTTATAATTTTATGTGATTTGAATCAGAAAAATCTGATGTTAAAAAGTCACTGGGTTTAAGGCCCTGAGCTAAGCTTACACATGTGTCCCTGGGGTCACAGTGCCTACCAGGGCAAACAGCTCTGCACACTTGAGAAACAACCAGCTGGGGAGAGAGACTTCAAAATCGTCCAGGTGAGTGAGCTGCTTTTCCTTTTCGGGCACCCATCTCACCTTTCAGGATCTTTCAAATGTAATGCTGAACGTTTCATTCTGATAATGACAGAAGGATTGCATGGCTCAAAGGATGAGGATTTGCACGCTCCACCCCAAATGTGGATCAGGAAACACAACTGCTATTCTGACAATTTGTCCCTAAGTATCTCTTGAATAATGAATTAGTTTAATTTGTTAAAACTGCAGTAAATTCATGTAAATATTTCAAGTTTCCTGATTCAGTAAGATTTTGAGCATGTTTGTGGGAAGGCGATTCTTCCATTCTACCAGGAGGATGAAAGCTGGGTGATTCAGCTCTGCTGTCCTCCCAAAGACTTAGTGATTGAGGTGAAAAGAGTCATTTCTAAAGAACATGATAAAAACATGACAAATAATTTTGGTTTGAGCAAGGCAAAGCCTTATCTCAGTGGACACAATATGATCTATCAGATAAAGGACTGCTCTGGAGTGAGGAATGGTGACACTTGTGGCTGTGCTACTGGCAAGCTGGGTGACCTTGGAAGGTTGCCTTATTTTTCTGCATCTCGATTAGGGAAATGGCACTGACAAAAAATCTCTCCCCAAACTCCATTGTGTTATATTGCAAAATATGCACTGATATGTGGAAATATGTGGGGTTTTTTAAACAATTCAGGATTGTACCAACCCGCTGGCTTGCTCCTTTTGGAAGGCTTCTTCTTCACAGCCACTGGAACTCGGGCCAGTGCAGCCAACTCGCTCACAAAGTCCTGCTCTGCTTCCTGCACCCAAGGATAAACCGTACGTCAGTTAACACAACACAGCGCAATTCTGGGTTATGTTATTCTACATGTGGCGTGATGAAAAAGGCATATGTCATTGCAGAAACACAGGAAACAATATGGCTAGCATCAGGGAACCGTTTCCTACAAGACAGTGGTGAATCTTAGCAGGGATTTCAATGAGGACAGCAAAGAGACCCTTACAACCTGTCCGATGTTTTGCCATGGACTGCTTCAGATCCGTGAGTCATTTTACCCCAATTTACCCTTAGCTGATTCTCCAACTCAGTTTCTAGGTGATGCAATCCCAGCAGTTTCTGTTTCAGAGACTCCAGACGAATTTGCTGCTGCAGTTCAAACTGAGCCAGAACCTTCTTTTGCTGCAGCACCATCCTGGTCAAGAGAAATTTAAAAGCACCAATGTTGTTCAGTTCAAGGGAGGAATACAATCCTGGCAAAGTGTATTTAGAAGATTTTGTAGAGAGAAAGGCTTATTAACAGTATTGGCCCATCCAGCTTCTGCTGGGACAAAAAATTTTGCGGTAGATTTTTAGACAGATTTAGTTGTTTTAATAACCTGCCTTGGCTTTCCATGGGATACAAGCTCCTTTCGGAGGCAGGAATTGCAGCAGGAGTTTGGGTTGTCCATGCCTGGGCTTTGGGACGAAGTCTGCTTTCAAAACCATTGTGTGTTTCTAAAGGCAGCTTTACTGTCTGCTTGCCAAAAAGACAAGCTGTTAGAAGATCAGGTGTGAGGATAAGGGATTAAGAACTAGGCCTTTAATTCAGGGCTCTTCAATACCAGGCTGAGACTGACCCAGAAACGTGGTAATTCAAAACTTGGCAATTGGGAGCACTGACAACTATATTCTTTGCTTGTTTTATTTTGCTGGTTAAAGATTAATATCAATACAGTAGAACCTGAATGGCTGCAACTTTGCTGAATCTTTATTTCTTCTGTTCTCTTGCCTGATCTACCTTGAAGCAATGCTGTCAATCACCTATCACATTCCTCAGGGAAGGAGATAACACAAATTGTTTCTGACATCTACACATAATGAAATTGCTATTGTAATGGTCAATGCTTACAGAAGGTTAGCTTTCAAAATTTGCTTTTTGAACTCACACTCAGGCAGGGCAAAAGGAAATAAAAAAATCAATGTTGAGTTTAATAGGAGTTAGACAAATTAATGGAAAATCTGTCATTAATTTACACAGGACTGGGATTTGACCGTAAAAGAAACCATAATGACAATAGGAAAACGGCTTTGATTACTGATGGTTATGAGACCAGCTTAGATAGTGAATAGTTACATCCTTCAATACCACATTTCTGCCTGCATGAAGGTGTATTTGATTGTATTTTGTTTTAAGACACTAGAATAGATTATGGGAGAAAAAACAGACATGTCAGAATAAATGTTAAACTTGACAATAACTAGCAGATCTTTTATGAAGCCCTTTATTACATGAATCCATTTCTATACTAATTCAAACAAGGATGAAAAACAGAAAGTGGGCAATGATTTCTTTCAATTTAGAAGTAACAGAAGGTCTAAAAAAATAATTAACCTCTTTACAATCTCAAAATTGCAGATGCTCCGTTGTTCTGGATAATAAACGAAGAGTAAAGAAATAAAATTATTACAAAAATGTACCAAGTGCATGCCAAGTCATACAGCTTTTTATGACAACTTACTCCTTTGAAATTGCAGTGCTTTTTTTCTGGACTCTTAAGTTTAATAAAATCAGTAATGAATTAAATATAATTTTTATTTAATTAACATTTGAGGGATTCTGCTCTAAATTTAGTGCAAGTAATCTTGATTGTCCAAGGCATTCACTGAAATCTCCTTGCCATTTTGAGTACTATTTATGCTTCAAACATTTTCTCTTCATTATGATATATGTTTACTCAACAGCAAACTAACAAACACTTGATGTTCAAAGCAGAAAACACAGAACGTAATGAATTAGCATCGGTTCCCATCCTGCACTTACGTTAAATTTCTTTTAAAATTTGGCATATGTTTTGGCATTGTTTTTCATTATCTCTTTTCAAACTGTCTATGTATAGTTCTTCAGTCTGTAATTAATGAGCATCAAAAAGTTTATTTAATAAAAAAGTAATTCTCTGAGATCAAAGGGTAGATGTAATTTGGCAACAGATATTTCTTTTCCATCAGCTAGACATTTATTTAGATCTGCAAACACAACATTTAAATAGAGTCACCAGTGCTGCTGCCTGCTCTTACCTTTGATGGACTGTGGATGATACATTCAGGAGGCCTTTGGTCTGTTTTTCTTTCAGTGCCAGTTCATTCTCTTGTTTCTTCCTAAGTCTGTTCCTTTCACCTCTTTCTGCTGAAATAATGTTTTTGTAAAATCTTCTGTTCACAATAACAAACTCTGAGCTGTGGCAACCTTACAATTTATGTTTTGCATCAGCACAAATTAATCCCTTTTCCAGGCAGTCTTTCCAAAGTTACTTCTCCTTAGGGATATCCAGTACTTCTTACACACTCTTGCTCTGCCACTGTGATCTGTTGCACAGACAATAGCCTGTACATCATTTAGCTGAGATGGTAATGTCACTGAATTCCTATTCTTAGCTACTTTTCCCACTTGGCTAACTGATTAACAGGGTTAATTAGTGCAGAAATTTTTAGAAAAGACCTTGATGTCTTAAGCAAGAACTGTAATACCTAAACAAAAAATGCAATATAAAGAAAACCTCCGCTCAGAGGCCACTTAGTCCTGGGAATGCCTAACTTCACTAGACATGCCCTCACTCGATGGCGAAGTATTGTGAGTACTTCTGTGTACGCTCACACTCTGCAGGTGACTTGACGTTTATCTGCTGACCAGGCTCCTGACTCCTGCCCCTGAAGTCCTGCCTGGCAGCAAGGCTTGGGGCATGTCTGACAGACAGGGCTGGTTTCCTTGCACCACTGCTTTTAAATAAAACGCAGAAAGAGGGAGATGGATGGGTTTGTAACAAACAGACTAGGGTACCTAACATTCATTTGGGGAGGATCTGACCTTTTCCGAATGCTCGGAGAGGCTGACAGGCACCTCTCCTACCAATGGCACCGTCAGGGAGCAGTTACTGGCTGTACTCTAGGCTGGGCTGGGCTGGCTGGGCGAGTGGAGGTACTCTCCTCCTTTTTTCCTGTGGCTGTGGCAGACAGACTGTAAATTCAGATTTACTAGGCCAAGGGATGCCCAAACAAGCAAAATCCTCTAGCCTGACATTAAGCACAGGCTCTGGGAGAGAGAAGCCCAGCATTATGGTCCTTACTCCCATTTAGCTATCACTGAATGAAGTACATAAGAAATTTCCTATGTGGCCATTCTAACCCCAGGGCTATAACATAGTAGGTAGCTCTGTTGCCAACACTTTTTTTTCCACCTTGTGCTTTAGAGAGAGAAGTTATAAGAATATTTGGTGAGCAGGATCACCATCTCAGTGTGGTAATCATGCTTGGAGATCACCTAACAGATCAGCCCCTTCTGAAAAGGAAGAAACATGGATGCTCTGTCTCCTGGCTGAGCTTGTATGGAAAATAGTTGGCTGGCTAGCAGGCCTTAGGGTGTCCTGGATGTGTCAGGACAGCTTCAGGCTGTTAAGAATCACAGAGAGAAATTTAAGTGCTTCTGGGGCCAATACAGAAGCAGAAACAAGAAGGCAGTGGGGTTCTGCATCACAAATTTGGACTTGGGTTAAAGAAGTAATTACATGTACTAAAGCATCAAAGTCCCTTATTAGATGGTAGTGCTCCCTCCTAATGTAAAAAGCACCAACAAAGCTGAAGTAGCTATCTGTTGGTACCAAAAATCTCGGCTGGGCCGCAGCATGCACATGTAGGTTTGCAGTATTTTTTCACTGTAGTAGTTCATTCGATCTGTGAATTTCAGCTAGGTTTCTCTCTGGCAACCCAAATCTAAAACACTCCTGCTTTTATTACCAACATAAATACTCTCATCCTCCCTCATGCCTGTAGGCTTACACTGCAGCAGAAGGATTTTCTTTTTCTTCAGCTGAGAAGAAGATCTGCTCCGCTTACACATGTAATTTTCTTCCTTGTAGTTCATGGAACACCAATACACTGAAACAATAATATATCCACACAAACTCTAGGAGAAAAAATAATCTAAATGAGCAACCACCAGAAGGCTGACTGTGGTTCTAGTGACTGGTATTCTAGGTCTCACAACCTAACTGGGAGACCAGTTGAGAGCAGTATCAAAACGCTGATGAAGCAGAATATTTAAGCGTGTAATGACATCCATCTCAGCCCAGATCAGACAAGTATTCTGGAACAGGCTTCAGTTTTAATTCCTGCTTAAAGGAACTCAAATCAAAGGGATTTTAGACACTGTAGTTGGCTGAGTTGGGGCCAAAGAGGTCTTTAGAGGGACTTTGTGAGAACTTAAGTAACCGCCTTGCTAGCTGCCAATGTCTAAAATACAGACTGTCAAAACTTCCCGCACAGATTTTGCACTTCAGCTTCCAATATTAAAGTCTTCAGGGTTCACTACAGGGCAGTGCGGAACAGATTGGTTCTGTCTTATAACCAGTAAGCATATCTAGCTACTACTGGGGCTCACAAATCTTTCCTACCAACTCATCTCTGGATCTCGGCCTTGAGTGGATACGCCTGTTCCTCTTCAAAAACTCTCTTCTGTGATTAAAGAATCTTTTCTATTTAAAATTGCTAACTCAATTTTTAGAAAAAAAATCCATTCCACATGTCTCAAATACTTAGCCTCTGATGCTACTGCCATTTTGCTAACTTCATTTAATGCCAACAGCCTTCATCCAGGGGAGGGGAAAGTATTTAAAAAAGAAAAGAATAATCACAGCTTGCTTTTGTTCTCCTGTCCTGAAGGAACTGAGCAATTCAAAATAATTCCAGGAGAAACTGCCTGTATTTATGTGAGATTCAGCAGTTCATAAACCTCTTCAACAGTTTCACAACCTGTGAGAGGGTCATGGTTGACAGCTAAGAAACAATGCAGTAGCTCAGAGAATGTTCCAGGATGGGCACGCTTGGCTGTTTGGTGTCTCCTTCTAATGCATTTCCTGAACTTCAGACACAACATTTCACTGAGCCAAAAAAAAAGGAATGAATATAAGAATCTACTCCCCAAAGCTGAGGGCAGTCATGTCAGAGGAAGCAGACTGCCTGCCAATGATGTTTATGTTTTCTAATTTGGGAGCAGGGATTGCAAACTCTGATCTTCTCCCTTCTAGGCACCTGTCATATACCCTCTCTCTCCCCCTATGAATATCTGATTCATTGATTCTTTATTTGCATATATTAATATGCAAAATTGAACAATGTTTATGGTAGACCTTGGCTGTATAACCTAACACTTGTACGGCTCTTTGCTTTCTAAATTATTCTGCCTTGTGTTGAGGTTTAGAGCATCAGAAAACCAACTGCTGCTGGTTGTGACTATGGTGGTATCTCTGATCTTAGCTTGGTGAACCAGAGTTCGTGGTTAAACTTTAATCTCCAACACTGGGTCATCATTCTGTGTCTGTCTATACCAAACTTTGAGTAACAGGGTCCTGCATCTATGACTGCAATTCAAGTAATTATTAATAGTAATAGTTCTACCACTTCTCCTTCAAAGATGGAAATGGACCTACATGTTCATTTTGCTTTGTTTCTTACTTTAAATAACAGATGACTGTTATCTTTAAAAGCGATCTTTACAGTGATAAGAAAATTAATTTACCTGTTAAAACCCCAGAACTGTCTTATAGTTGTCAATATCATACGTACCTTGTAAGGATTTCAATTTTTGAAGCTTTTTCCCTTCATAGTCTTCTGTGATTTTTCCTAATTGCTGATAGTAGTTTTGCACCAGTCTGTTGGTATTATTGCTGGTCCCATACACACTTTCTACAGCAGCTTCTACCAGTCTCTCCTGTATTACACAGTACAAGTCACAAATCATTTTCTAAGTCAAAAACTGAAGTGTTTTGATCTGTCTAAAACTGAAGACCTAATCTATGTGCACACAAAATTGTGAATTTTGTGCTTTAAAACTGTGGCAGACTGAGATGCTAGAGAACAGGTATTTCTATTCATCCATGAACATTTCAACATGAAAAATTACAGTAAAATCTTTCTAATGTGCCTCACCTCCATCTGGGAAGGGGCCATTCCCCTATCTGTTCAATCTCTATAGCCCATTATACCTGTCAACTCGACTGTCAGCAAAGTAAATCAATATTTGTGTAGGTCTACTACAACTTCCCATTATACAGAAAATCCAAATAATTACTTTGGAACAATTTTATTAACCTATGAAGCAAGTTTTATTTTTATTTACTTACTTATCTATGAATTAATATTAAGCTGTTAATATACAAATACTACTACTTAACCATAAAACCTTCATCAGTAGATAACCATCTCCATTTCTTCCTTATTTTTGCTATGCTCTGTCATGAAGAACACTTTCCAATTTTTTTATGTCCCAGGGTTTGGCTTAATAAAACCTGTTTTGGTTGCTATAGCAAGTCACCAGAAAATACTGTACTTCTACATATCTGTTAGTTTCTAAATACTTGGCAAGGTATCTTCAATTTTAACACAGGTTGTAATGGTCTACTGCTGATATTTCTAGGCATAGGGTAATGCATAAATGAAACTGCCTTCCATTTTAGCAGAGTAGCACTCATTTTGTTTGGAAAATTGCTATCGAACATTTACATACCTTGAAGTCCTGTCCATCATCTGAACTCTTTTTTCCAGCTTCCCGTCGGGCATGCTGCAGCAATGTCTGCCCAATCACCTGTTCCATGTGCTGCTGAAGAAACTGAAGAGCTTCTTGGATTTCTGTGACTAGCTGCTGGTGAAATTCTAAATGGGTTTGCTGTGTTTCTTCCTCGAGCTTCTCTTCCTCTTCCAGAATGTGGGACTCCTGGTAATCAGACAAAAAGATAGCACTGCCATTTAAATACGTTGACAAACTTGATCAGCTTCACTCTAAAAGAAAGTCTTACACCCATTCAGAATGTTACTGTTTTAATCCTTAGAATAATCTAATTTCCAGTGGAAGTTTATGTACAGTCATTTAACACATTTGTCTTTGTAACAAAACTATTGCATCTGTCATGATATGTACAGTAACAGCTGCATCCTCTCCCATTAGTCATTTCCAAGTGATGTATTCCCATTTTGTATTCTGTACTGTTGAATTTGGTCTTATTTCTATTAAAAATATGAACAACCTAGGCCAAATATCCTGATTCCAGTAAGGGATAACTGTGGATGCCTCAATAAAGTGCACAGGAACAAGGTAAGGATACAGTTATGCACCTGGAATACTTGTACAGTTTGTGGGGTTTACCTGAGTAAAAGTTGGTATATTGGTACTTACAGCCCTCGAGAGAGGTCATGAACATGTTTAATAGCTCTTGGAAACCATCTGAAGTCTTGGCATTTACAGCATCCTTTGGTGGTGAGTTCTACAGCTTATCCACACATTTCTTAATTTTGAACCTGCCATCTAATAGCTTTGCTTGGTGCGCTGTCCTTTTACTAGAAACAAGTGAAAATTTGTTCCCTATTCACATATTTTATGCCAGTTTTAAAACCTCCAGAAGACATCTCTTTTTTAGGCTGAAGAGTTCTAGTCTCTTGAGGTCTTTGGATCGTCCTTGCCATCATATTCTATGCTTCTTTTTAAATCCACTTTCTCTCTAAACTCTCTTAGCACACCAACAGTATATACTTACTAGCACTACCTGTTCTGTCTTCCTTACGTGTATTAGTCTTCCACAGATTGCCTTCTATTGAGTTGCCGATGTGACTCATATTAATATTCTCATTTAAGGCTGAATGACATTAAATTATTCTGGCGGATTCAACAGTACCTATTGGATGCCCTCTTGGAAATAAGAAATGCAAGAAGAACCTGCTCTGCCCACATTCATCTGTGGAAAATAATGATGTTCCTATTAATGCTGGGTTATTCTGACATGTCTTTATATATAGCTCAGGCATATGTTTTTGATGTTTTTTTTTAGACAGTCAGAATGTCATTAAACGGTTTCTCTTTTTTTTAAGAGACCCAATGTCACGTTATCATGTCCAAGCCAGGATTCGTTAGTGTTGTTTTACATTTTATATGAAATCAACAGATAGACATGACACTGTCTACCAGTCTAAAACTGGCACAAGATAAAATTAAGTTTAGTTCAAACAACACAGTATGTCTAAAATTCTGGTTGAGTGTCTGTAAATTAACCTTTTCCTTAACTTCTTATACATTGGTTCTAGTTTTGGAGGTTGTTTATAACATTTTTTTCTCTCTGACTTTTCAGAATTCCACACCTAGGCCCTACTTCTTTGGCAGCACGGATCTTATATATGTTATTTGAGGCACTTCCTTGTGAGATGGGTTTTAGCTGGCCTTGGAAAGAGGCTGTAATGGAGAGAGGCCAAAGGAAAAGTAATACCTGGGGATATTTCATTTTTGTTAGGGAACACAGTGATTGCATCAATTAATGTCCCTGTGGGAGCTAAGTGAGAGGGAGCAGTGGAAAGCACGTAACAAGAAGAATGCAGTCACATGCATTTGTATTTTATTATTTTACACTTTATTTCTTCTGAAGGTTAATGAGATGTTGAGATTTTCACACTTAACGGGAACTACTTCAATAGAAGTATCAACTATGGAAATGGCAGCAGACAGAATTTCATTATTCCTCTTCCAAGTGGAGAATTAGGGTTTGTATTATGCAAATCAGAATTAGAGGGATGCAAAATGTTATCTCTCAGCTAATTACACAGTGACAGCATGGAGCACAGAACTGCAAAGTGTTGGATGGGTTCAACCCATATGTGCAGCAGCCGTGGGTTGGGCAGGGGCTATCACTGACGCCTGCTAGGAGGGTCCTCTGAGGTTGAAATCTGAAATTCAGTGTTGTTCTAGGTAAATATCCAATGCAGATAAATAAATAACCAACAACACTTAATGGATTAACCCTAAAAAACACAGTCACAAACAGATCTGAAAGTGACTTGTGGGAATACCAAGTTTAAAAATCCCTTAAACTTTCTCCCATCTCCTTGACCTACAGGAGCCAGACTATTTGGAAGGATGTCAGGGGAATGGATGCTGAGCATCTCATGGACAGAGGAGAAAGAATGAAAACCAATGACAGTACAGAAGAACTTTCTAGGTCTGGTGGAGGAAAGAATTTCTTCTGATGCTCAAGTAAGAACTTTTCAAGTGCATAGTACGATCCCTAGCAGAATTAGTAGGAGTCTATCTTACCCTGAAGCAGTATGTTGTGTAGAAGTCCTTTATACATGTTGGCATGCCTTCTTTCATTAGTATTTTCGTATAAAATAAATAGTTAAATAAGTTGCTATGATAACACATATCACAGATAACTTGCCAGTAGATAACGTATTAGGGAATTTAAAATGTCTGCTCAAACTAAAACAGGTACACCCGGACCTCCTATGCCAGCAGTGGGTGCATTTTTGACAGAGAATATTTTCCTTTCTGTTTGGAACTGGAACACTTTTATTTTTTGAGATCTTCTATGGCTACTTCTAATGCCAGACATCATAGCATATAAGACCTCTGGAGAAAAACGACCCCGACACTGTACCCACCACTGCCTTCTGTAACTGCCACTGGTCCTCATCTTGGCAGGGGGAGGACCCCTCCTGCAGGGTATGCTGTTCTCTCAGTTCCTGAAGCAAGCTCTTCTTTCTGGACAGTCTCATGTGGGCCAGGACTGCCATTCCAACTCTTCGGAGGGTTAACCTTCTGAGTACTGAACACAGCAGAAGTCGGTGTTTTTGCAATATATAGTTTACAGACCTGTAAAAAGGACCATTAAAAATCAATCGGCTAAGCTGCTGGCTGGTTTCGCACCCCTGTGTTCAGCAAAGTCATTGCTCAAAGATGACAAGAGTTACTATTCACTCTGTGTAATGTCTTCTCATACAAAGCATGCCTTGGGAAGCTGCTCAGGTGTATAGAATGGGTATTGCTGTGATAGATGTCTAGTTCTGTCACACTGAAGTTAAATTAAAACACAAATAGGAAGAAAATAAATAAATAATCATCTATAATTACATAATAAAAGTTTTTTTTAATAGGAGACTTGAAATAAGATGAAAAGAGAATGTAATCAGAACTGCAGGAAAGTTATTTCAAGAAAATGCAGGACAGCATATTGTGGATTAACAAGGAGGTACACTCTGAAGAGACATTGAAGAAGCTAGTGTTAGCTGGCAGGGCAGACACGGCTGAAGCAAGTTTGTGGTGAATTTTAAAAAGGAGAGCAAATTTTGAAGTTGATTCTGGACCACATGAGTGAAATCTGTATGCACATTTGGGATGACATTGTTTGTGCCTGTATCTAACTTGTGTGTATCTGTAAGGCATCGTGAGCTCTCTAGATACCAAATTTTGGGAAACACTGAAGTCCAAGAATGTGGGAAGGTTGAACTGAAAAGTAGAGCCAAAATAAAGGAGTGCAATGGCAATAATACCAGTATTCCAAATAGACAAGTCTTCAAATACTTTGATCTTTGACCATGATAAATGCAGTCATTTGATATCTTAACTAAACCAAAGCAGATAACACAGAATTGTGGGGGTTTTGAGAATTATCTCTATCAAAGAGATGTTAAGCTGTACAAAGATGAGATAAAACTGAAAGTTTCCTTGGTGAATACGGACAGAATGCAAGAGAGGAGTCATTGTCATGCAAACTGATGGTCAGTGGTATTGAAACAGCAGAAAGCAAAGGTAGAGCTGGATGGTGCTGGACTGAACATTTTATCTTGAAGAATACCCAAATCCAATGTGACATACAGAGTGCAAAGACAGGTTGGTTCAAGATTAGAAATCACTCACAAACATAGAAGCAGATACACAGAAAGCACACAACTTGACAAATCACAGAAGAGACTATTTTTTCTACTTACCAGGAGTCATGGATTCTCTGGTTTTTTTTTAATTTGTTTTTGATACTCAGACAAAAAACTAGAGTAACTGCCTCTCTGTCTGAAGATGCTCATAATCCCTCAAAACTGCTTTCCACAATGTAATGTACATAAGTTTTTATCTGTGCATGCAGCAGTGCACTTTTACCCCCCTGTTTACTGATAAAACCATGCTTACTCATCACTGAGGCATCCTAGTCTGCTTACGACACCTTGAATTATCTTGTCTTGTTTCTCAGACAGGTGCATTTGCATCACAGCAGACAGAGCATATTCCTTTATCCATAGCTAAAAGCAGGGGAAAAGAATTACAATTGTAAGATACTCTGATTTCAGTCACGCTAGTCACCACATTAAGAAACAGGGGTTTATTTGATGCTATTTTGCTAAAAACAATCATCCCCCTCTTTCAAGAAAGAAACTCATGCTGAATTAAAATTATTCTACTTAGGAATATTTTTTTCTCAATGATCAAAGTCTTAAACAAAGCTCACTGAAAAGAAAGGGAGGCTTTGCTCTGGTTTGAATCAGTCCTGAGCTGTGTCTCCTACAGATTTTCCGGTTTCAGCAACAGAGGAACAAGAGAAAAAGAACAATATGGCACAAAATATTGCATCACCTCTTATCAGCAGGTAGCAGTGGGCTTTTTCTTTGGGTTTTATTCACTAGTAGAAAATGTAATTTTTATTTTCACTGAACAAAATGAAGTTATCATCTTCCATCACGCTTTTGTGTATAGTATCCAATGCTAATAGTTAGAAATGGAGATTGCGTGATTAGGTTTATGGACTGCAAGTTTACAGTTCCTTCAATGTGATATTTAGATCAAAGAATTTAATCTTTAAATGTTTTGATGGATTTGCCATTAGACTGTAAACTTTTGGAGATATGGACTTAAGATTTTGTTTAGTGTATTGCCAGAATTTAAGGAATAATAAGCCATAAGAGGAAATGGTTGTAAGGCCCAAACTCTGTTACTGTGAGATGAAGAGTATATTTTAAGCAACACTGGCAGCTGGATAAATGCAGGTTGCCCGCAGATGTATGCAGAGCCCTAAATTAAATATAATACTCAGGCGCTCTGTCAGCCTCACTTCATGTTCTAGCCTCATTCAGAACATGAGGGACTAAATTTTCTATTACTGCAGACAGCAAGGTTTCACTAGATCAGTATGTCTAGCAAAGCATTAGATGCGTAATTGCACAATTGTTAGTGTTAGGAATTAGGAGTGGTACTGGGCCTTCCTACTGGCTTTAATAGTCTTTTCCTTGGGAAGCAGCGATCTGTGCAGGAGAGGCTTTATCTGTGAGCACAGAATGAACTCCGCTGGGAAGTGCAGAACAGAAGAAACCACACCACCTTTGGCTTTAAAATAGAAGTATATTTCTTTCTTGGATAGCGCCTTCTCTGTAGTATACACAGCAACACACCTAGTTGACCCCTCTCCATGCAGAAAACCTTACCAAAACATATGCTCTTGAGCAGGATGCCTGCGAAGGACAGACAGGCGGTCAACAACAGGTGACAGATGGGAAGAGTGCAGCTGAGCGTGAGGAGCACAGCCCAAAAGTCTGTGTGGTGCCGGGGAGGGCACCAGGCTGCTCTCGGCAAGAGCCGCAAGACGTACCTGTGTAGCCAGACCTCAACTGATTTGAGTCTAGGCGATTCTCAAAATCACAGAGCACAGCTGAGCACAGTGCCTTCTCTGACTGCATGCTGCAAGTGTCAAATTAAGGTTTATCAGGTCTCCAGGTATCATCATGACAGACGGCAAAAGCTTGCAGTAATACCGGTATCAGTATTTCCCTTTAGCAGCTCTGGATATGGTTTCCTAGTGTTTCACACCTCTCTGTATATGCCTCGTAGATCCGTTGCATTGTGTATTTTAATGTCTCTTTCAGCAGTTAAAAGAAAGGCTGAAAACTACCTTTTACTTTCCAGAAGTATTTTCATTTTCAATGAGATACTGGCTGTGGCTCGGATGTGGCTTCCCTTCGTTTTTGGAGACCTGGTTATTGACTGAGACGTTGCTCTTGAAGGGCCTCTCTGCACACTTACTGTCAAACAGCATCAGGGCATATAGACCACCATGACACAGAAGACAGGAAATGTTTTCTGAATTACAATTGCAATGGTAAATGATATAATATTGCAGCCAAGAAACCAAAACCTAGCACCTCTGCTGCTGTCAGTATACCCTATCCAAAGAGGCACTCAGAATTAAAACAAAGACAGGGACTGTAGTCGTTGTTTACTTCTGTTTATGAAGAAATAGCCTAGTTCTGTAGTAGTGATCTGAGCTTCTTTTAAAGGAAAAGAATGAGTCACCTTTTCCATTGCAAGTGCATTTAAGGTAAGCTGTATGCACAATTTATAAAAGGTCTCTTCACCTCCCTGAGACCAATAGAAAGCTGAGAATACAGCAGAAAATCCCCCCGGTGCACAGTTATTAAACTGAACAGTAGAAGTACATTAGCCATATAAGTAGTAGGAGAACAAAGAGGAAAGGAGGGGGATTACTACACATTTAAGATGGGACGATAAAGAAAGAAGATTGAGATTTGGACCAAATACTAAACCAGTGTTTTGTCTCAAAAAGGCCATTAGGAATATGATCAAGAAGGGATGGATCAGCTGGGAATAAGCAGAATATTATGTGTTTTATTGGAAGCAACACTTCAGCAGCTCACTGGGATGGGCTGGGTATTTTCCATCTCCGAAATACTAGAAGAACTCACACATCCAGGCACAAATGCAGCAGCAAAGATCCTCTAGGAATCTTAATTTGAGGCTGCTGGCATATGGCTGAAAACCAGCAAAACAGAGACAACTATTTCATTAAGCCAGGTGGAAAGGTCAGACTTTGTGCTGCACTGATCTTCCAGCGCTGGATTAAGTTGCCAGGTGTCTCTCCAAGCTTTCCTGTTCTTGGGAACAGCCTTACTTTGCTCGGAGACAGGTCAGTACAGAGTGGAGAAAATCATGCTGCTTCACAGATTCAGTGGCTGGAACAGAGCTCAGGCTCTCCGATATCTGCATTTAACCAGTAAAACCACTGTCAAAAGCATGGTAAATGGGGGAGTAAAGCTCCGAGGAATGCCTGGCTTCTTGAAGGCTCATTGCAATCGCTATGAAAAAATGAGTATAAACCAAAGAGAAAGCAATAAAAGGCACACCATGTGAGAACTGGTAAGGAGACGCCGCTTCGGCTTTCTGGGTGTCCACCAATGATGTGGGAATGGACAGAAATCTCCTCATCCCATTGTTACTCTGTAAGCTTCTCGGTGTTTTGCTTCCTGGCAACAAGTCCATTACAAGACCTTCTGGAGCACCGCTAAGGTTAAGTATTACTCTCTGGCAATAAAGGTGAGGAATATGCCTTTCTTAGGTAATGAAACCCATAAAATATTTTGAGTTAGACCTCAGATACAACAGCAAATTAGACCCAAGTAAGCTCACTCTTTTTTCTGCAGCTCTCAGTTTGACATTTTTAGCACAGATTATTCAGGAAATAGAAGGAAAGCAATTTCTCCCTAACAGCCTGTAGATGGGGTGCGATGCACGCTGAATGCCAAGCAAGTACCTCAGCCTGGCGCAGCAGTCTGCTCCCCGTAACTGCTGCCCAGACAGGAGAGCTTGTCTACAGAAATCAGGAGGTAGGGGCTATGTGGGAAAATGCTCAAAATTTATTTTCATTAGTCATTTATTCCCATTTGCCTCTCTTACATCCTCAAGTGTATAAGGCAAAGTTAAATATGAAGCTGACTTTTTCTTTTCATCTGTAAAAGAGATTCTGTTCCCCCAAAGGATGTCATATTCCAGATATGTATAAATGCTAGGAAAGAGAATTAAAAAAAAAAAGTGGTTCAAGGAAATGGGAAAAATGTCTTTTTGAGCCACCTTGAAAAGCACACATAAATACCTTGTGAAAAGCCTTCTGGCGTTAGACTTCCCAAGTCTGTAAAGCAGGTGACTATGTAACTCTTAGTATAGTACATTTAAAAAGAGGCAGATGAAAAGACCTATCTCCTGCTGGAAAATGCCTGATAAATTAAAAGGCCTGTCAATATGAATGTTGATTTATGGATCTGCTGTCATATTCAGCACTGTTACATCTATGGGACCTCCTAAATGACACGATCACCTCCCACAAGTGTCTGATCTCTCTTCTTCTTTTCTTAAGGTGGAAACGAAGTGCTCCTTTTTGTAGGATGCAAGTGTCAGGTTATTGCTTAAAAGTGCATGCTGCTGCATTTATGCTTGGAAAGGGCCAAGAAATGCACTTTGGATTTGAACATAATATAGTGAGTTGTGTGATGTTTTTCAGACTCATTTATACAGGAAAATCTGCCAGCCTAGCTTTGGTGGAATAGCTATCTCCGTGCATGCTCTCTTGGGAGATATAGCAGACTTTTTTCCAGTTTAGTTCAAACCACTTCCAAAAAGCCACACGCAGTAAGTTAAAAAAGCTACTTAAGCTCCTGCAAAGAATATTGTCTTGACGAATCACACATTTTCCCACTAGGAGAAACCCTTGTCTCTTCTAGGAATTTATCCCGCAGAATCACTTGTCCTTAGGACAGCTCTGTCTGCTGCGCAGGAAATTTTTATATTGAATAAGGCCTAACTGCAGTGCTGGTGACCCAGAGACCAATGTGAGAGCTCTGTCATTGCTAAGTGAGTTCCTCTATAGCTCAGTAATTACTGTTAATGATGTCAGCAAATGCTTTATTCTTTTTTTTTTTTCAGCTAGAAAGTCATCTGCTTTATATTATGAATGCTATGGCACATTGAAAGTGATGAAAAGTTAACTTTCTAATTTAAATAACCTATGCTTGGGCATGACTGCAGCATCTGAATTTACATACAATGAATCCATCATACAGTGCTGCCCGAAGAGCTATTATCCAGCAACTGAGCGCTGGAGATGAACTAATCCCTTGAGAAAAAATCCCAGGGAGTGGTTTCTCCACTCAATACCATGCCCAATGATAGTAACAGAGGAATGCATAAACAGCATTTTTGGAACAAAACTTCAGACCTGAGATCTCCCCCTCTGTGGAGAGCCTCCTGGCTGTTAAAATCCATCCTCTCCAGCCCTGAACGATGGCTGAGGTCCAATGGGACAGTGGGAAGACCAGAGCAGAGGAGCCCTAACATGCACTCGGACTTCTGGGACTAATCCTAAGTTGCACACCAGCACCTCCTCCTTCTCTGACTGTGGTTCTTTCTTAATGACAGCAGGTACCACCACGGTGCTTTGGGCTCCATGCACTATGGGACGTACTTGTAGTTCACCTACTAGATCAGACTGCTCAGGTCAATCACATACAAGGACAGGCAATTTGTGAACCCTCGGTGAATGTGAAAACAAACAGCAACCTAGAGGTTTAAGCTTGCCAAGTCAGGTATTGCATCTAATCCTTGATAAAAAGAGGCAAAATAAAAAACGTTGAGGTCAGACATTGTTTCACTAAACACTGAAGGTATAGGTATGCCAAATTCAAACACTAAATGCGAGCCAGCAGTCCTAGAAAACACAAATGCCCAATCTTAATTTAAAGCATGTGAGCAGACTCACTGGCATCAGTGGTCATCTCAAGCATATTTTAGTTTAGTTTGCTAGATATCCCTGTGACACAGAAACAGCAGAGGCAAGCAGAATTGTTTTTCAAATTAGTTGACATAACAGGTGACTTACAATAAAGTAAATATAAAATGATCAGGGAGGTGCATGTTGTGTAACTCCAGATTAAGGAAAACAGAGAAGAAAAAAAGGAAATGGCTAAGAATTTCCAATGAATAATTTTACTTTTGTATTCCCAAGGGTGTTCTGACCAGTGACCACTGGTCAGCAAACCACTCTACCAGATTTAGTAGGAAGCCCAGTTTCCTGAATCACAGGGTTTCATGGAAGAACCCTAAATACAAGTGGGTTGGAAGAGTTAAACACCTTATAGCAGTGTATAATAATTAGGGACTCAGTAAGTTATTAACCATGTACTGCATTGTCCACGCACTCTGAAGAATGAGGGTAGGGAAAAGTATGATTTTGCCAGTGTTAAAGAACTCTGCCAACCTTTTATTTAAGAAGCTCCAATTACTCTTATATGTTGCAGCACACACTTACACTTGGGAAGGGGCACACCTTTGTATAGAGAAGGTCTTTCTCTGACTAAATTGTGTTAGTTTTCAAAGCAGTGTTAACAGAGACATAGCATTGTATGAATAAATGGAAGGTCTATTTGAGTTCTAGCCTAATGCTGAAGATACCTGCCTCCACATTCACTGTTGTTGCTTTTCTCCTCTGGTGTCAATGCCCCCTATGCTGAGCACAAACAGAGCAGGAAAGCTGGATGTGTGTTTCTTCACCTTCTCGGAATAACAAGTAAGTTTTATATAAAGTGTGTATCATATGTTTCCAATTATTACAGTATTAATACATAAAAATTAATAATAAATACTTATCATTGTAAGGCCTCCTTTCCTGTAAACTGTACTCATAGGTACCCTCTCCAAACAGACCAGATGAAGGTGTTTTTGAACTGCTTCTGTAGATGCTGAGGACATCACACAGCAGCCTTGACAAAAAATATTTATGTGCTGACAAAGCTGTCAAACACTGAGGACAGATGTTCAGTAATTATTCTCTGACTCCTCTATGCCTACATGCACAGCATATATTCACTCCATACTTCAGGTCAAACAGCCTGCCCCAAGTCTGGACCTGTGTCTGGACCTGGGCTATATATTTACAGACAAAATACTCTGCACAGATAAGTATCTTGATAATTTTTTTCCATGTCCCTGTTTTTAGACCCTGGCATCCCAGAATGTAACACGGGTCTTACTTTTTTTTCTTGCAATAGCTGTTCCTGGAAAAGCTTCCAGCGTCTCTGGCGGTGGTCCTCCCATTTCTCCAGCTGAGGGACCAAATTCTCCTGCCATTCCTCTTTCAGAAGCTCACATTCTCTTACAGAGAGGCCGGTCACAACAGGCAGGGTCTGAAGAAACAGCTCCGTCACCAGCTCCGCTAAAGCAAGGGAAGCTTTAGAGTACAGCTCCTAACAGAGGGACAAAGAGGGACAGAGAGAGACAGGTGAGAAGGTGAACCCCCCGGCCCTTTGGAGCTATTTCGTTACATGTCTCCATGATGCCAGCGAGGGAACCATGTCCCAGTGAAGACACTGGGCCAGCGACCGACCCCTACAGCTAAAATCCAACGCCACTAATGCTTGAGTTAAAAAAAACAGGTTTTCTAGATGGAACAACTTAAATGCTTTGGTTCAAGGCACACAAGGGCATTTAAAACGCAATAGTGGCATGAGCACATGAGACCCTGAATGCTAACTGCTGCCCACATGCAACTGCAGTACAAAGAATATCTTGTTTTACTGGCTATGGCAATGCATTACAAAACCAGTTATTTTGAAAGGTGCTGTGGAAACAATCCGGTATAGCACAACACCTCGTAGGCACATTTTCAAAGGTGCTGATATGAAATGAATGAAGGCAAAAAAGAAGGACGAGTTAAAAGGGACAGCACGGCTTTTAGTTAGGCAAAATTGACATTATTCATGTTAATAGTTGGTGCTCCAAAATATGACACTCTTCAATGCCTGAAAGACAGAATTAATTCAAATTCCTTCTGATGCAGAAGCGGTTCAAGCCTAGGAAAACAAACATCTTCCGGCAGTTTTATTAAAACTAGTCCCATATGAGTGGTTTTCAATTGCTAAGGCTGTTTCACTCACAAGAAGAGTTTGGGTGATTTAGTCAGATGGCATCCAAGCTAAAAAGTCTGTTCAAAACACGTAATTTCACTGTCAACTACACAGTGATGATACGAACTGTGTTTGCAAACTTGGTACAATTTGAGACAATCCCTGAGGAGAAGGAGTGAGGGCAGGTAGCTTTCCCCAGTGGAAGAGAAAAAAAATCACATTGGAAAGGTCACAGGGACACTGCGGTACTCCAACAGTATGAAGAGCTATTTTTGTGTGAGTTCCACATGATCTTACCAGTCCAAAAAGCTTTATCGCCTACTTGGTTTTGCTTTCATTGTAAATCAGTGTTAGCACTCTTGAAAACAGTTGTATTTCTTTCCTTAAAATACAGCTAATATTTTTACAACTCCTTTCAGCATTCCTGTTGCAAGAACAAGTCAAGTCTTCTAGCTGTTGCCTTCATTTAAATATAGGTATAATTACAATCTCTTAAGTGATCAAAATCTAGAACCTCTCAACAGAAACACAGAGATATGTCAAAAACATTTGTCTGCAGCTCATAGACATGAAAAGTTGTAGTTGACTTGTCTTTTTTGGGAAGATACACTGGTATAATGTAGTATTGTGTAAGAGCCCATTCCATCTGCTAGATGTGGTACCATAAAAAAGAAAGTAAGACACACAAAAAAACCCCCGAAAACAAAAGAGGATGTTAAATTACAAAGTCAAGAACTCAGAAATAAAGAATGACCAGAACTTAGGTTTCATGTGAAATCTCATTCTGTGCCACCATAATGATAAATTTGGGGCTCATGTACTGTTTCCACAGGACCTTTATCTGTTCAGTGTTTAGGTTTATCAATACCCATTAAATGGATAGATTTCTTAAAAATCTTTATTTTATATTTCTCATTTATTGTAAAATATCCAAACTGTGCACTGAATACTAAATTATTATTTTCCTCCTAGGATCTCTCTAGGATGCTAATCACCATATTAATTAGCTGTTTCACAAACAATAAACAGCTTATCTTAACAGGTCCCTGCAGTAACCTCTTCTTATGGATAAAATCAAGGCACAACACTATCAAAAGTGTTCACTACACCTTTGAGATGAGCTGTCTTGATTTTTCCCACCCTCTTACCTTTTTTAACCATGTTTAAAGCATGCAGGATTTTCAGAATCTAGCTCCCACTATCTTTGTTTAATCTCAAAGTGTTCTGAATTCATGTAAATTGGGCTACAGGTTTCTGAAACTGGGTACTGGGCATAAGTATGAGAATTAGTAGTCAAAGACCCAACAATTAATTGGATACCTCATTTCTGTAACACTTCTCCCATTTCTAGTGATTGCTCTCAATCTGAACATGACGGTATCATTAGGGTAACATTTGCTACACAGGTGCATCCTATGCTGAAGGATGGATCTCCCCTACTTCTTAATTATTATAGTTACTAGTTCGTGTTACAAGAGGCAGGATTTTTCCTACCTTAATCATCTGTGTAGTTGTGGGCCTGGCTTAGCTTGCCAACACTATTGCAAAATGGTTTGTTTGAATTCTCTCTTCTTCTGCTATTTATTTTAAAATTCAAGTCTCAAATTCTGGGGTTTAACAAAAGCTCAAATATCCTATGTTTCTAAGCTCTGTATCCCATACAACATTTAAAGAACAATCACTCTATCTCTGTAAACCACCTCTTCTCTGAGCTTTGCTAGCCTTTCAGGACAAGTTAATTCTCCTGCCTTTACTCGGTGTTTGGGGATATAAGAATTTCTCCTGCGTCTGAAATAGTTCAGACGCAGTCTAGAGGAGACTGTGGCACTTCTACTGCAACCTCAAAAGATCTCAGGCAGGGTGTTAAGGAACTCTACTCTTAAACAGAGTTCCACCTATGGCAGCTAAATCACTTTGCAACACATTTTGCTGCAGAACTGATAGCATTTCCCTGGCACACTGACAGCTTTGTATTATTATTTACTAGGAAATCTTTTGCACAGAACATAAAGAAGGTATTTTGTTACTTGCTTTCCTGCCGTTTTGTTTAAAGACCAAGTGAACAGAATTCTGCTTGCACTCCCTGCAGCTTCAAATTTTACTGTATACTTACCTTTGGCACTACCAGAGTGGGTACATAGTTACCCAGGAAAAATGTGACTAGGTCCTGTTCCCACAAAATTAAAAAGCTACATCACCTCATTAATGTGATGGGCCAACTTATCTTTAGCTCAAAGGTCCTTAACTATTTGTCTGCAAAATAATTCATGGCCCTCTGCTGATACTGGTGTATGAAAGGACAAGAAAGCGGGATTAGAATTCCAGGAGCAGTTTTTCACAACCACAGTCCCTTTAAAAATGAAAACACTGGGGGAATACATGGAAGGGAAGCAGGACTAAGCAGTATGTTCTTTACATCCCACGAATGTTGCAAACTGGCACGCAAAGCGACAGGAAGCCTGGTCAGGTGCTGTAAGTCCCTGGGACGGTGATTTTTAACAGGACTTTCCCTTGAAGTTCTGTTAGAAATTCTCTGTGCAGGATACAAATCCGGCACTTAGTGGTCTCATCTGTGGTCCAGGATCACAAAATAAACCACCGTCAGTGATGACTATCTAACTAAATTCTCACTAGAATACTAACTTCTCTGCAGTGTTCAAGGAACCACTAGCCGCTGGCTCTTCTTTAATCTGAACCCATGACCGTATGGGCATTAGACCCCAGGCAGTCCTTGCAGCCCAGACCCTACCATGACGGCATGCTCTACCCAGAAGACATACCACAGGTACAATATGACGGGCACTGTGTTTAATGCAGCACTTTAAAGAACGCAGTGGAAAGGCCTTTTAAAATTTGGTAGGGGGAATGGGAAGTTTACATTTAGGAAAGACTGCAGATGTGATTGAATTCTACCAAAGCCACTCAAGCTAACAAAATAGTTCAAAACTATTCGTACTCTAAGGAATGTACTTGATCTGAAATGGCAATAAAGTCTGTCTGTGAACAGGGATGGTGTACTACGTATTACAAAGCTTATTTTCCACAGGAAAAAAAGAAAACCGTTAAGAAATCCTACTGCTTCCAGGATCTTATTTTTGGACTAGAACCCCTACAAAATAGTTCTTACAAGCTTCCTGATATGCCACCTCTTGTTTTTAGAACTTTCACTTAATGAAACTTATTCAAATTGATTCCATTAATAGAATAGCTGATTGCAGTGTTGAATGAACCTGTTTGTAGTACCTGGCAGTCAATCTCAAAGCTTTTCAAAAAACCTCCAAAGAAATTCATCAAGCATAAAGAAATACCATGGGGTATATGCAGAAATAAAATGGGCTCAGATTAAAATGCTGAGTGCATCTGAATTTCAAACAAGGCAATAAATATATAATTTTGTCAAAAACCAGGGGAAATACACAGCTTATCAGATTTCACTACAAAACCAAAGAACATATTAATGCTTGCTCTCAAACCCGACTGATTAAAAGGTTCCTACATGCAGGTGAGAATAAAGTGAATAGTAAAATTGTGAAGCAGGAAAATGTATTTAGAAAGGTTGTACTGTATTTTACATGCCAGCCACTGACTAGTATATATTACCTCCAAGAGGCAACTGCACAACTATTTGTTAACTTGTGATAGCTATTTGTTAACTTATGATACAACAGCATTTCATTAAAATAATTAAAATTTCTGGTCAAAGCTGTAGAACACTCTTGCATGTATCTCCAGAAGCTGAATGGTTAGGACACTTGTTTAGGAGGTAAGAGATTCATCTCCCAACACATATTGTATCTTATTAAGGACAGAAATTCAATACTCAGATCATGCATCCCATAAATACTCCAAACGTTCTTGGACACCACTGGCCACTAGAAGATACTTCACATTATAAACTCACACTAAATGGGGAAAAGCTGATTGCATGTACTTCTTTCTCTCTTCCACGTGAATAAATCTGGAATGCTAATTGGAAAATGAAAACAGTACCCTGCTTTTAAGCATCCTAACACCAATAAAACACAATGACATTGAAGTCATTAGCTTCTTAGCACAAGCTAATAAAAAAAAAAATTATTTCCACACATTTAAAATGGAGGTTCATTTAAATTTCAGTCTTGTTCCCTCACTGGTCCTTGATTTATTCAGGAGGCAGTTTCAACCTTCTCTTTCTGTACTCCCATTTTAGAAATGTGCCTTTGTAGATAAGGTTATGTCCTTTACTAGATCTAACTATTAACAAATTGTGAATCCATATAGAGGTACAATACAATTTCTTATGCAGTAAGGCAAGAAGCAAACTTCAGAATGAAGGCTACCCATCTGAGGCATCTTGTATC